GCTCCATACGGACCACCCCTGCAGATTTTGCCTCGATCTTTACTGAATTTTACAGATCCCTATACAACCATTCCCCATCGACAGACGCCACCAGGGCTGACGAAGCTGACCGGACCCTGACGTTTCTGCAACAACTGACGTTACTGGGCCTGTCGCCCACAGCGATAGCTGCCCTAGGCCAGGACATCACGACAGACGAAGTCGACAGGGCCATAACCAAGCTCCACGGCAATAAGGCTCCGGGACCGGATGGTTTTGGAGGAGCTTATTATAAAACCTTCCGGGAGGTCCTGGTTCCCCATCTCACGACTCTGTTTAACGATTTTCGTAATGGAGGCTTTCCGGATAGGGACATGACGCTAGCTAACGTTAATCCCAAAACCAGGGAAGGACCCCCAACTGCCCGAAAGTTATAGGCCCATCTCATTAATTAACCATGACGCCAAGATTTTAGCCAAGATATTAGCAGACAGACTTAACCCTTACCTGCACACCCTAATAGATCCTGATCAAGTGGGCTTCATTCCTGACAGGCAACTGTTTGAAAATACGAGGCGAAACTGCACACTCGTGGCGCCAGCACAGTAGGAAAATTCCCACCCCTATGGTATCCCTTGACGCTGAGAAGGCGTTTGATAGAATCAAATGGCCGTACCTGTTTTCACTACTTGAGCACCTACACTTCCCGCCCCCCTTTATATTAGCAGTTCAGGCTCTATACCATGGTGTCACGGCCCAGGTGCGGGTGCCTGGAGCGCCTGCCCGACCCTTCCCACTCTCGAACGGGACGAGGCAGGGGTGTCCCCTGTCCCCCCTCTTATTCGCCCTAGCGCTAGAGCCTCTGCTGCAGGCCATTCGGGAGCATCCAGATATCCGGGGGGTGATGGTGGGGGGCCAGGAGTTCGTTGTTTCCGCATACGCGGACGACGTGCTCCTCTCCCTCACGTCACCGGTCACGTCCATGGAGGGGGTCAGGGGATTACTAGCCAGATTCAGCCCACTCTCAGGATATAAGATTAACATGTCCAAATCAAACGCTCTCCCCATAGGAATCCCCACAGCAGACATAAACCAGATACACAAGGACTTTGGCATTCCGTGCGTGACACAATCCATTAGCTACTTGGGGAAACAACTAACTGCGGATCCAGCAGCCCTGTTCCAATCTAATTATCCCCCCATGATCAGAGTCCTCATACAGGACATGGAGAACTGGATAGACAGGCCCATCTCATGGTTGGGCAGGGTCCATTCGGTGAAAATGAATGTCCTGCCTAGGATCCTTTTCCTTTTTCAGGCCCTCCCGCTACCGCTCACCAAAGCAGACTTAGCACATTTACAAAAAGCTATTTGTAGCTTTATTTGGCAAAACAAGCGACAGCGGGTGGCGAGACACGTTCTATTTCGCCCGAAGCGGATGGGTGGTTTGGGCCTACCCAATCTATACTACTATTACCTGGCGGCCCAGCTCACACAGATCGCGATGTGGCACTCCCCAATCGGAACACGGAAGTGGGTGGAATTGGAGTCACTTCTTATGGGAACTGATCTACCCCAGTACTACATATGGGTCCCAAGGGACCTCAGGCCCCTCCTGAGAACCAACTGCCCGGCTATCACCAATGCCATACGCATATGGGACCGAGTGGGGCAGAAGTTCCACCTATCCCTAGATCCTTCCCCGCTCACGCCGTTCCTGCGAAATAGGGCCTTCCCTCCTGGTATGACGGCACGTGATTTTAAGCGAATCGAACAAGCGGGCCCGCAGAGAATATGCCACCTCTATGACGGGGGCGTCCTGGTCTCATTCGATACGCTTAAACAGGGGCACCACCTCACTCCGGCAGACTTTTTCAGGTACCTCCAACTCGCAGATTTCGCCAAGCAACCCCATATCAAAACAGCCGCGTTGGCCCCTTGCACCTTTTTTGAACACATATACCTCAAAGAAAGACCCCCTAAAGGCCTTATCACCATGATATATGCTCACCTATGCTCAGATACTACGGAGTGGGGCTCCTTGACGTATACATCCCAGTGGGAGAGGGACTTGGGAGAAGTACTGGAGGGAGTGGAGTGGAGGGAAATCTGGGAGGCCTGTAACGCCACCTCCATCTGTGTTTCCATACAAGAGCAATCCTTTAAGACCCTATTTCGGTGGTATGTCACCCCAGTCCAATTAGCTCGAATGCGTAGATCGCCTTCTGACCTGTGCTGGAGGAACTGCGGTCAAAGGGGTACGTTTACTCATATGTGGTGGGAGTGTCCAATCATCCGACCGTTTTGGACGGACGTGGGAGACATAGTGGAGCAGGTTCTTCACAGAGCCCCACCCCTTGACCCGTGGATATTCCTCCTGAACAGGTCGATTGAGGGTTGGTCGAGGCAGGACCAGCGCCTCCTGCACAAAATTATGTCAGCAGCCCGAAGAGCCCTCGCCCAAAATTGGTTAAAACCTAAGCCACCTTCTAGAGTAATGGTGATTAGGAAGATCAAAGATAACTGCCTCATGGACGACCTTACGGCTAGGGTGCGGGGCACACAGGCGAGGTTCACGAGAACCTGGGAGCCCTGGATTGGGAGCACATTTGCAGATTGAGCGGAGACGCGGTTGACCCGAGCCGCCCCTTCTCTTATCCCCCTCCAACCCCGCGGCCGGAGTTTGAGCTTTGCCCTCTCTCTCTCTCTCTCTCTCTCTCCCCTGCTCTATCTCTTCCCTTCTCCTGACTCACTCTTTTCTTCTACTCTTCATGGCCCCTGTCTCCTCAGGGGGCCCCTCATTATACATAGATAGCATCCGCACGCGTAGATAGCCTTCAGGAAGCCAGCAGTTGTGTTGATAACTGGCTACAAAGGGCATTGTAGTAGGGGAGGTGATGGGGCAGAGATGGTCATAGATGGGGAGATGTGAGTCACACTAGGACCCAATACAGGGAACCCCTCGGGCGTTCGTGGAAACAAGCGGCCCGGTCACCACTAGCGAGATAGCGCCCCTACCTGAGCCCGCTAATAGCTGACGGCGGCCATAATCGCTATTTGAAACCAGTAGCATGTCTCTCTAACAGCCCAAATTCCATGGCCCGCTAGTATGGGATGACCACAGAGGGCGTAAAGATCTGCTAACGCCTCACACCAGTCTCAGAGGACGAGCCACAACATCTGAGAGTGCTCTGAGAGCTGAATGCAGTCCCCTACTACTATTCACCACTATCTACAAGATAATATCATTTTAAAACTGGGCCTTTGTTACTTGCTTTGCAATTGTTGATTAATACGCTGTTACATATAGAATGCAAATATTGTCGAGGCAACACGACACCATGTTTTTCTCATTTGTGCACTGATAAATAAAGAATTAAAAAAAAAAAAAAAAATAACAAAAAATAATAACGTAATCATGAAATTCAAAATAGCCCTACACGTTTCGTCTTTAAGCTAAGACTTCATCAGAGTAGGTAAAAGGGCATCCAGTTATTTAATTAGTATAGTTACAAATGTTTACACATATCGTTCATATAAGTCTTCATTGCAGATGACGGACCGCCATCAGCCCAAATTATCCAAAGTTTCCTTCAATCGGAGGGAACTTCGAATAATTTCTCGATCAACTTCAGATGGAACGAAGTATTAGGATTGGCTGATGGCGGTCCGTCACCTGTAATAAAGACTTATATAAAGTATATATGTAAACATTTGTACCTATACTAATGAAATAACTGGATGCCCTTTTACTATCCCTGATGAAGTCTTAGCTTAAAGACGAAACACGTAGGGCTATTTTGAATTTCATGATTACTTGATTATTATTATTTTGTGTTATCTTTATTTAACTTCAAATGTTTATTATTTGCTGTACTCATTACCTGTACCTGTGAGTACTTCTCCACCTCATTTGGGAATCTAACCACAAGGACCAAGATTGGGACCTACAGGACTTGATTGATGGGCTTTTTATCCATTTGTATCTTGTGAGTGTAACATATTAAAGCAAGTTTTGATAATTTAGCTTACAGTGTTGCACTATATTTGTTTACATTTTTCTTTACATGAATCTTCTTATTATTCCAACTACGCTGAATACCCGAAATTTACACTTTATGGATCAGCTTTAATTTACAAGAAATCTGTCAGTGTAACCGTGAAAAATGGTGGTAAAAGAGAAACACAAAGTGGCTGGGTGGGAGGCACAAAAAAGAGGCTGGGGGGGAAAAAAGACACACAGAGGAGCTGGGGGAAAGTGACACACAGAGGGTCTGGGGGAGAAGGAGAACCACAAAGGTGATGGGGGAGGGGGGAGAAATACAGAAAGACTGGGGAAGGAGAAAAGAGACTCACAAAGTGGTTTGGGGAGAAAGAAATGCACAAAGGGGCAGGGGGAAGAAAAATACACAGAAAGGTATACATTTTTTGGGGTGGTGGTGTGGACTTGCCTGGGGCACAAAATATTCTCTCATTGGCCCTTCTTAGAGTATCCTTTTAAGATAAAGTTAAAAAGAAACAAAGCATCACATTAAAAAAGTTGCACACAAATGATAGTTATTCAATGTTAGTCAATGTTTAAGGCAGTGGTATAATTCCCAGATAAGTGGCAGTTCCCTTTTAAGTGGCGTATAAATAGATACATATATTTTAAACCTATATAAATCTTCTTTAAATATTTTAAAAAAATATTTTACACTAACCGAACTTAAAGCAACAAAAATGTTCCCTGTAAGAACTGCTCAAAAAAGCTTTGCAAAATAAAAGGATTTATTCATTAATCCGTGACTCTGAGTGATTTGACAAGAGGATTACAAAATTCAGGCTGACATATTTCAACAAGGAAAAAAAGTTGAATTTAGCTACATTACCACTCCCAACATATTGGTAGAAACTTTGAAATGCCCTCACCAATACTGCTTAACACTGTTTGGTGAATAAACTCCAAAGAGACACAAAAGTGGTATTTCCAGACTTACAGCATTGCATGTTTGCTCAGCTGATAACCTGCAAGGCTTCTGGTTCATTGTAATTGCAGTTCTATGTTGTATGAGCTTGGTAAAAAGTGCTATTTATAAACCGATCATTACGCGTGATGTAGTGAAAAGCTAGCAGATACATTTCTTTGTAAACACCTACCACAAAGTATCACGATAAAAGTCTGTCTCAGGATCCAATCTAGAAGTTCTGATGGCACTCCAGTATGTAGAACTAGGTTTGACCTCTGATTCAGTTAACTCTCTTGCAAGGAATTCTACAAACTCGTCCAGAGATAGTTCTGTGCTCATGTGGTCATTTGTCTTTGAAAAAATAATGAAAGAATTAATACATGAAAGCTGTACTAGTAACCAAAACACTATCAAGAACGTAAATGAAGAATATTCTGTTCTACTTAGTGGAAATATCACATACCCAGAGCTGTCGAAAAGATATGTTGACATATGGTTGCAACGTTTCCATGTCTTTTTAAAAATATTGCCCTTTGTTGTTAGTATTGTTGGATACTTTTTAGAAAACAGATGTGCTAACTCTAGTTGTATACCTTTTTTGCGAAATTCGTCATGAATGCTTTCATTGACACCTGCTGAAATGTCTATCTGTACGATATACTTTTTGTTGACAATAGGTTCAAGGAGCTGTCGTAAAACATATACGAATGGTATGCATTCAGCTTGCGTGAGTAAGTGAGATACAGAATAAACATAGAAATTAAAGATGTACCCAGAATACGCATCCATCAGTATAGCAAGTCTTATGTCACAGGAGGTCTGAGGTTCCTTCAAATCCACTTTGTATTTTTTAACGCACAGAACTCCAGATGGACTGTCATATGAACAAAAGTTTGAAGCAAGTCTTGCTTGCAGTTGGTCTATTTCCTGAAATAAATTTGTTGAATTTTTTGCTTTTGCCTTGCAAAATAGACAAAGAATTTCCTGAAACCGGCCACTGGGTAGAGAGGTGTGGGACCATTTGATAGAAGACTCTATTGGACATTTTTTGAGTGTCTTGGAAATTCCAATTAGGCCAGTCCGCAGCATGGCACTTATCCATTGCAGTAACTCTCCATTATTCACTCTTTGTACCTCATGAACCCCTTTCCTATATTTTAACACCCTTTTAACATTACTGTTGATCTTTTTCAATACCTTCTGCACAATATATCCATCCAGTAAGATTGAAAAGCAGAACTTTTTGGTGAGGTGTTTTCCAGAATTAGTTGCCAATGCCCGTATATTCCTTTTGGAAATCATTTGCCTCGTTTTATGTTTTGAGGTACAAAGCCCTGCACACAGACCACAGCTGATATCTGAAACATTCACCACGGCATAGTCTTCTATAGTCCATTGTACTTCTTTTAGAATGGCAACAGTAATATCCATAATTATAAGGTACCCACAGAAACGGAGTGCATAGATGATTTATACAATGTCTACCAAGCTCACATCAAGTAGTCTTCTCCTGTTTTTGTTTGTGGAAGTTGTAACTTGGTTTCCACGGTCTTCATAACAAATGCTGCCAGAAGAAAAAAAAACTCTGTAAATACTTGTTAGAAGCACACAATACAAACCACCAGCAACTCTTAGTAAATGTTATGCCTCTTTAACCTACTCCTTTAGAAGAGAGGTAAACAAAAGGAAGAATAAAGTTAGCTTTATGTCTTTGAAGCTGCTGTCCGTACTTGCATGAAGATTGTGGTTGTTGAAAATGTAGTAGAGATGTGAGGCCTCTCGGAGCTTGCCAGAAATGGCTATGAAGTTCTGAGTTATTGTATTCTGGGGAACCCAACCCAGCATAGCACCCTTATATATAAAGATGAGATTTGAGAATATGGCTATGGATGGAAAACCTTAATCGGTATAATTATCTATCATCTGGATACATCCAATATTCACCATGGAAAACTGCCATTCCCTTTAAATCTGAGGACCTCTAGTCTAGATAAGTATCACCAAGTAAGCAGAAGCCTGTAAAAAAACACAAGGAACTAGTGCAGTGCCATTCCCACCTGACAGAATAGTGGTCTATGATGACAATTTTGTCAGAGGGGAGAGCTGGAGAAGCCTGCAATAAGTAGGTCTCTCACAGAACTATACCCTCAGCAAGTGATTTTTGCATGTGATGTCACGCTGTTCTGACACCAACGCACTTGCAATGAAGCCATGTTGATTTCATGAGCAGGAAATACCATAAGAGCTCTTAAAGTCATTGCTTTAGAAGCTGTTATAACTTAAGATGAAGCTGTATCAACATGTTCACTTTAAATCAACTTCATGTTGGGCCATCTCTAGAGGGACTTCTGGAATTGAAACTGACTTTTGGTGAATAATGCTTTCCTATGGGGGGATCCTAATGCAAGCATGGTGGGAGCTGAGCCAGCATCGAGGGACATCGGCTCTGGACCCTGGTAAGTGACTGAAGGGGTTATAAATCCATTCATTGCCGCGGGAGGGGGCCTTGATAGAGGAGAAATTTATAGTGCCAGGAAAACAAGTTTGTTTTCCTGGCACTACAGTGTCCCTTTAATTTTGACAATCAGACTCACACATGTACACATACAATCACAGTCACACACTCGATTACAGACCTATACACACAATTACCGACATGCACACACACAAACACACATAATCACAGGCATACACAAACACAATCACAGACCAACAAGCACACACGTAAACAGACAATCACAGCAAGCATACATGTATACAGACAATCACAACAAGCACACAAGTATACAGACAATCACATACATACAAACAATCACAGATATATACACACAATCACATACACACATACACATAATCACAGACATACACAAACACAAGTGGAGTGGACCCTTTCCCTGGGTTGCTGCTGTGATGGGATTACAGTGCTCTTCCTGCACCTCCCTCGTAAGCCCAGTAGCAATGCTGATACCGGGATAATCTCATATCCCAGCTGCCGGCCCACTGCTGGGAGCAGAAGGGAGCTGTGCAGAAAGAGCACAGTAAGTAATGGGCTCACTGCCTCCCTCGCCACCCAGACGGCAACTGGGCACCATTACAAGTGGTTCAGTGCCACTTGTGGACTGTGGGCTGCAGGTTGGACATGCCTGATGTTCAGAGAACACTCTTGACCAAATACTAATACTTTCACAAGTTAAGAACTGTAAATGAGTTGGCAGAATTATAAGGAAGCCACAAATATTAATTGACAAACATTGACCAAGGGGCTGGTGTCAAAACAGTCTATGCTGTAATTTCTGCTTTTTTTAGTTCCATCTTACTTCTCTGTCAATATTTGTGTAGCTCACAGCTATAACAATATAAAAGGTTTATCAAAAAGGTAGATTTTAAAAGTCTTTTGGTTACTAGTATGTAATAGATTATATAGATGTTCGTATTAAGCATTTCTATGATAACCCAGGGATTTCGGATTCCATTTTATGGGCCACTTATAAAGCAGTTATCATAGGCTACCTTATAAAGATAGAAAAGAAAGCTAAAAACATGTTAAACAAAGATCTGGCTGATTTAAAGATATTATATTTCAACATCTCCAAAATGAATAAAGACAATTCATCGCCCCAACTAAGTGCAAAGCTATCACAACTTCAAAAGCTTATTAATTTAAAGTTAGAAGAAAAAACTAAAATAACAATTAATAAGCTTAGACTAAACTCTTATTACCAAGGTAATAGCGCTAATAAGAAATTAACTAAGAGGTTAAAGAAACAAAATACAACTTATAGAGTCAATAAATTAGTAGATCAAGAAACTACATACTCCTCTCCTGAAATAATTGGTCAACTCGTCAATGAATTTTATAGTAAATTGTATAACCTTGATACCTCCCCAAATAAGAATTAAATAAAATGATATTTAGCTAATACAATCATTCCCAAGATTACTAACTCAGACCTAGACCAACTTAATTGCAAGTTTACAACAACAGAAGTAGAAAGGGAAATAAATAGATTGGAATTGCTAAAAACACCTGGTCCGGATGGATTCAGTAATCTTTTTTATAAAATTATGAAGAAGGAAATAACTCTGCGGCTTTATATAATGAAATGGCTAAAAAAGCTACAATCCCAAGGGAACTTTTTCAAGCGAATATCCTTCCAATCTTAAAATCTGATAAAGATCCTACGGATGTTAGAAATTATAGACCAATTTCTTCAATAAATACTGATTTGAAAATATATGCAGCAATTTTGGCACATAGACTTGAATCCTGTGTGGAGAAAGTAGTCCACCCAGATCAGGTAGGATTTGTTCAGGGCAGGTCCTCAGATTCCTGCACTAGAAGAATTATAGATATATTTGATGCCACCGACCGTCGGGGGGTCCCCTTGCTGGCCCTGTCACTTGACGCAGAGAAGGCTTTTGACAGAGTCAGCTGGGGATTCCTGGACGAAGTACTGACTTCTTTTGGTTTTGTGGGATGGATCCATGATGCTATAATGGCTCTCTATTCTGAAGCCACAGCAAGAACCGTAGGAGTTAATATTTTGGCTAACTGGTTCAATTTGAATAACGGCACCCGCCAGGGATGTCCTTTATCCCTACTTCTCTATGTTCTTACTCTTGAACCGCTAGCAATTAACATCAGGTCTAATCCAAATATTAAGGGTTTCTTAACTAAAAATCTAGAGGCAAAAATACTATTGTATGCTGACGACATACTTTTAACACTCACGGCCCCTGAAACCTGATACACTCACGGCCCCTGATACTCAAAAGTATCAAACTATAAATGAAATGTATCCAAATCAACTGCTATAATTAGTAATTTCGATAACTACAGTTTAGGCAGCGCCGAAACGGACGTTAGGTTTATGCTCTATCTTTTTTGTTTTTAATCACTAGCACTGAGTTATGTGCTCACTGGGTGGGGAAGCAAGATTACGCTACAACCGATGGGAACATTAGGTTTATGTAGACGCTGATATATTAGTGTATAGGCAGTTATGGACATTCCTGTTTAGAGGACCCGGTTACAATTGTAACAGTTACCATTTGCTACAGAAATAGATACAGTTAGATTCTTCATACTGTTTATCGTCTGTTCAGGGGACCGGGATATTAGTTTACAATCTCTATTTTATGTACCTCTAACAGTGAACTTCAGCTATTATTGTAGACAGATTGAGCTGGGCATTTATACTAACTTTAATCTGGAGTTAGCATCTACAGCATTTCTTCACTCTGCCTCTCCTATACACCGACAGAGTTCTTCCCTGTGTGTTTCTTAGAAGTGTTAGTTCTTTAAGTTTCCTTTCTTTTTTACTGGGGAAATTATTACCCTACATTAAAGGTTTTTTATTTTTGTGCAAACCCATAGATCTCTTTCTCTAGTTGGTATTACCATAGCTTTTCTGCTTGGGATTACCTACACTCTATGATTTAAGAGATCGATACGATTTCATATGGTCTGATAGCAATTTTACTTATCTGGGTATAACCATCTCAACCCAAGTTAGTAAAATCATGGAAATAAATGTTTTGAATCTCTTAAAACATACTAACATAAAGTTAAAAGAGTGGTGTAAACTAGAATCTTCTTGGTCTATTCATATATCATTCCTAAATGGTCATACCTATTTAGGATGGTACCCAGGGCCGGCCTTAAGGGTGTGCGAGCTGTGTGGCCGCACAGGGCGCCATGGTGCAGGGGGCGCCCTGCGGCCGACACAGCTCACACATTGCCGGCTGCCCGGGTGGAGGATTTCATTATTCTCCACCCGGGATTAAAAAAAACCAAAAAATAAAATTAAAAAAAAAGCATTGCGGTGGGGGCGGGGCTTAGCGTACAGCGGGGATAATTGGTGGTGGGGGTGGGGCTTAGCGTGAT